AGAGAGAGAGAGAGAGAGAGAGGAGAGAGAGAGAGCTAAACGTGCCACAACATCCATCACATGGTGACGCCATGCTACTAAATGAACACAGAAAGTAAAGAAAGCCTGTGTCGTGGATGGCCATGTGAGGTGGTGCCTCAAGGCCCGGCCTGTACGTGGACGGCCGGCTTTACTGTAACGGGAACACAGACTGGTTGAAAAGTAAACCCGACCATCCACATACAGGCCGGACCTTGAGGCGTCACCTCACATGGCCATCCACGACACAGGCTTTCTGTGTTCATTTAGCATGGCGCCACCATGTGATATAATGGATGTTACTGTGGCAAGTTTAGCTATCACTATAAATATTTACATTGTTTTAAAGACGAAAAGGAAGAGACACGTGTGTTTGGTATGGAACCACTGTAGAATTTGATGGTGATGAAGAATCCGTAAAGTTTTTATCAATTTTTACCCTTCTGTTTAATCTCCAAGTAGCCTACTCCGGCCCCAGGCCTGTGCAAAAAATATGTCAACGACAGATAGTTGGGAAGCCGCCTTGAGGCCGGGGATTCCCCCAAAAGTCGGCCTGTGCGTGGATGGCCGGCTTCAGAACTGGGAGCTTGATCAACTGCATGTCTCTGTGTTCCTTTTCCCAACTGTGGTGGTATACAGTGGAACTCGGATTCAACGAGATCGCCGGGCCTGACCTAAAATCTCGTTGAATCCGAGTGTTCGTTAGAAAACACGAGGTTTTGTGTAGATAACTACAGGTACTGAGCAAGTAATCATGTACATGTATAAAGAGAAGTCACAAGTTGTGCCTGAAATGCCGACATATTATGAGCTGTGTGAAAAAAAAGACCGATTCGTTCACATACACACGCCTGGGTCATCTCAATTGTTTACCAAAAAGTTGTGTTGCTGTGTAGAGCCTAGTACTAGCATACGGCAACTTTTGATTCAACAAACCAGCGCACAATTCATTACATAGATCTACGTCAAGACTAGCTTATCATTGTAATAATGATCAGTTGCCGAGGGTAAAAAAAAGAAGACTGTAACGCGTTTGTATCTTCGACGTTCAACGCCCGGACCGCTAGTCCCCCCCCCCTCCCCGACACGCACTTACACACAGCCACACGTGTGCAAGTCGCCCATCCGTCCTCGACACACACCAGAGTAGACACGTGCACGTGCCAACAACGCATGTGTTGGTATTGAAAAAGGCCGCTGATTGGTCGCATGCCATCGGCTAAGTGAATAATGGTTCACGATGCAGGGGAAATGGATGGTTTCCTGGAATAAAGTTCTCTCTGGGAGAAAGAGTGAAGCCACGTCTGCGGGGGCTGTTCACCTTGGAAGCGACCTCGTTGAATCCGAACTCGCTGATTTAAGTGCTCGTTGAATCCGGGTTATTTTAATATAATTTTAAAGAAGAAAAAAACCCCGGGAATCTATCTCATCTCGTTGAATCCAAGCTCGTTGAATTCGAGTTCCACTGTAGTAAAGTATTTGTTTTATTGCGAATTGTTGTTCAGCCTAAAATAAAGCACACTGAGCCTTCTGTACGGCATGGTGTGTACTGAATATTATATTCAGCAGGCTACGTCCTGTTCATCTCATAACCACCAAATGATGTCTAGTCAACCTCCATGGGACTGAGGTACCTGACAAAGAAAGATTTTTGAGTAAGGAAGAGGAGCAAATAATACACATTTCTGGAAAAGAAAGGAGATCAGAAAATTTGGAAGTGAAAGTGAATCTCTATGCAGTAAATATCTCATTTATTTTAAAAAAATAATCATGTAAACGTAATCTCCATCTCTATAGCAGGGATATTACACTAGCCACAGCAATCTTGTTACAGCTGGGTTCACTATATGACTGTGCAATATAATCTTGTTTTTCTTCTTTTTTTTTAAATGGTTTTTTTTCTTCAGTTTAAAGCAGAGAACTTCAGTGAGGGCTTTGGGGATCAATTTTTCTGGACTGCTTTCTCAGTTAACAGATTGGTAAGAAAAAGTAAAAGGGAACTGAAAAACAGGACACAAGACATTTAGGATAAGCAATAGATAAGATGCCAGAGAGGCAGTGGCATGTGAGTGCCGCACCACAAGTGACTTGAGCGAGCCAAGCGCCCGTTTCTCAAGATCCTGATCCTTCCTTAGCGCCACAAAAATCATTTCATTGAAAAAAAAAAAATTCAAACAAAAGAAACCCAGGAAGAAAACAAAGACTAGAGACTAATGTTACAAAGACTAAGATGACAATCATTCTGGCTGGCTTAAAATTTTTTATTTCATTTCTCAACCAGCATTTTGAAAGCATGAATCATAATTTCATAAAAAAGGTAACCGACAACCCACCCACCCCCCCACCCCAAAATTTAAGAAAAAAAAAAATGACATAAAATTAATGGAGCTTATGGAACACCATAGTCGAGTAATATGGTACACTTATAACCATCAACCACCAAATACAATAGTTTTCCCTCTCACCACGGGCATTAAGAACCATAAACAACAAATAAAATGTCCCCCCCCTCACCCTTACAGGACCTGTCCCGTAAGGCCTGGCAGAAGGATCTACAGTCAATCTTGTCTTCATTTGAGAAGGCGAATAGAGTCTCTAGGTCATAGTCATAATTAGACATATATTTTCAATTATACCCGTACAGATTTTAACATTGTGATCTTACACAATTTTAGTCGATTTTCCCCAACTTTGTGCACAGTAATAGTAGAGCAGCGTACTTTTAATTTATATTCATATATATAAATTTTTGTCTTGAAAAGGGAATTTTCCATTTTAATTCTACTAGCTTTTCTTTTCTTGTGTTTGAATGAAAGCAATTAACAACACTCTCCAGCTCAAAAACATTTCCATTATAACATTATAAATATCTTCGATCATAACCTGAATGAAAAACTTAAAAACCTCCCAAATTCTTTAACTAATGGCATGGCACCAGAAATAAGGAGAACAGAGTCCCAATTTCTAACGTACTGGAACATACCAGGAATTGAACCCAAAACTCTTGGCACGAGAGACGAGTACCAGCCAATAGATAGAAGGCAAATGATCCCCATCTGTTACGCCCTAAATGTATCATCTTTCAGCTGTACGAAAGAGAAGGGAGTAGGATCTCTGAAGCTTGGGTTGCGGATGACTTTGGTCCTAACTTTCTTCAGCAAATCCATCAAGTCATCATATTCATGAATAGAATGCCTTGCTTTCAGGTGATCTAAAAGTTCTTCTTGGTTGGAAAAGTACGCGGAGCATTTTGGACAGAACCTCACAGTCATCTGGAAATACAAAAGAAGATTTAAATCTACATTTATTGAACTAGATATGTTATTACTTGTAATTTTTTTTTAGGCAGTTAAAAACCAACACATTATGAAAAGAAGTTCCTAAAGACTTATGAGCAAAACATAATATAAACAACTATGACAACTATAAACCATAAACTGGATACCGGTACTGTACAGTATGGAGTGTAAAGTAAATCAGGTTGACTCAAAGAAGATATCGTATTGTGTATAAAAAAGACTTTCAACCAAGTACACTGTAGCCTACATGATGCATATATTTAATATACATATTATTCTTTAACTTTAAAGAAGAAAAAAAATATTCTATGACATGAATGAAATACTGCAAATAAAGGCAAGGCACAGACCTCCTAAAGCAATCCTTTCCATGACTACTTTGGGTTATACATCATGTACACACAGTACTACTAAGAACCAGGTATCTGACAACTATTAAATCATGGAAGGTTAAAAAAAGGAGCCACCTTATTATAGGCCTCCTCCACCCGTAAATCGGTCCCAGCAAATGTGTCTTGTGACACCTTTCTCGCCAGGCACGTAAGGCCTACACATATTGACAAGACAGGCTACAAAAAGCGAGACCAATGCTAATACATTTGAACGTTTGTGAATCACATCCATACTTCTTGTGTGGTGATGTCCCACAAGCAATGACAAAGAATTTAAACTGCCATGACTCAATCATCATACTGTCATGCTAGGATCCATCGTGTGAGCAATTGTTCCCATTAATTTAATGGGCTTTTCAACAATATAAAAAAATGTGATTGTAGGAGTTATAACACCCCCCCGACACAATTTAGATTATTTAGGGGGCGGGCTTCCGATCCCTCCTGTGTCAGGGCCAACGCGGGCCGAGAGGGTTACAATATCCCAGTAGAAAGATCAAGATATTGAGATAAAAGATAAAATTTTTCTCCCCACTCAAAAATCGAGCTTGGGTCTCCTATGTGCAACAGCTAAGCACCCAACACCACAGATGTTTTTCAGCCAAATCTCCTATCACTGCAAAAACTAAACAGCTGACATTATAAAATGCAAGTCTAAAGAGGGCAACAAAAGGTAAAGACCAGATCTAACACCAGGGAGTCCACTTTTAATAAGTTCTGAAAAGACACTATTCTAAAACCCCATTTGTCCCCCTTCTTTATCTTTGTAAATAAAATACTGCTATGCTCAATCATACAAACACGCAAGTTGGTTAGCGGAATATTGCTGCTGCTGTGGACAGCGCATAGGCCAATTATAACATATATGTAAAACCTCGCCAGTCGAGAAACCTGTTGGTGATCTAGCGAAACAAAGAATGGGACAGCCCAAGAGTGCCAACAATGAAGGCCGGAACGAATGAGTGGGGAGGGTGTGGAATGCGCAGACAAGAAGAACGCATCGCGTGATAGGCCAGCCTAGTCTAGATTATCTAAGCCTACTATGCCTTTCACTTCTCCGATGCAGGGATCAAGGTCACAGTGCTGTAATGGATGGAGCAAATGTGTGACATGAGCAGGGTGTGGTGTGTACCCAACGTGCGAAAGCAGACAGAATGTACCACAGGGTGTGGTGGGGTGGGGGGACAACATAGTGGATGAGTTATACCGGGTGCCGATAGCGGATGGGTTTGGGCCAGGGGCGATTGCCCGACTCGCCGCCTGAAAATGTTTCTTTTGCGACGAGTTCGGCTTGTGCCACGATAGCCGTTTTGCGCCCTCAATCTGGATGGCAAACTGCCCCGCACCGATCCCCCAATGGGCACCCCATACAGTGGAACTCGGATTCAACGAGGTCGTTGGGTCTGACCTAAAATCTCGTTGAATCCGAGTGTTTGTTATAGCAAACACAAGGTTTTGTGCAGATAATTACATGCACTGAGCAAGTAATGTATAAACAGAAGTCACAAGTAGTGCCTGAAATGTCTGCATATTATGAGCTGTGTAAAAAAAAAGACCGATTCGTTCAAATCAAATGCACAAACCTGTGTCATCTCGAATGTTTACCAAGAAAAAGTTGTGCTGCTGTGTAGAGCCGAGCATACGGCAACTTTTGATTCCACAGACCAGCCCACAATTCATTACGTAGATCTACGTCAAGACTAGCTTATTATTGTAATAATGATCACTTGCCGTGGGAAAAAGACTAACGCGTTTGCATTTATGCGACGTTCAACGCCCGGACCGCTAGTGCGCCCCCCCCCTCCCCGACATGCACACACAGCCACATGTGTGCAGGCCGCCCATCCGACCCCGACACACGCCAGAGTAGACATGTACGAGCGCCAACAACACACGTGTTGGTATTTTAAAAGGCTGCTGATTGGTCGCATGCAATCGGCTAAGTGAATAATGGTTCATGATGCAGGTGCAATGGATGGTTTCTGGGAATAGATAAAGTTTGTTCTGGGAGAAAAATTAGCAACCTCGTTGAATCCGAGCTCGCTGATTAAAGTGCTCGTTGAATCCGGGTTACTTTAATTGATTTTAAAGAAGGAAAAAAGCGGGGAATCTATCTCATCTCGTTGAATCCGAGTTCTCGTTGAATCCGAGCTTGTTAAATCCGAGTTCCACTGTATTAGCCTAGAGCCCTGTTTTTCGGATCGCCAACGTTGAGTAGTCAACTTTGCTAGCGCTAGAGAAAGAAACCTGATTCGATTTTTGGTCAAGTAAGACCAGAGTTAATGTTGAAAAAAAGCACCATGAGGGGAAATAACAAAAAAGAAATAAACATAACACTTAACTCATAGGATAGGCCTACTTTATTATTTTCCTTTAATTTATTACTGGATCCCTTATAACGTGAATCCTGCTTTAACGGACATTTTGCACCAGTCCCCTCCCTCTCGTTATAACAGGAGTCCACTGTAGTTGCACTTACATTCTGTTTGTGGAATATCTGCCAGTGATCCACAAACTCCTCCTCTGACTTGTAATAGCGTTTGGCAGAGCAACTCTGCACAGGACAGCTGCGATTTTCTGAATATTCAAAAGTCACTTGGAACTTTTGGGGCAGCACTGATGTCTTGCCCATCATTTCTTTGTAAAAGATCTCAGTGATTTCAACAACTTGTGTCTCTCTGCGGATAAAATTGAACATTCCATTTCAAGGAATTTTTCAGGCATAATTCTAAAAAAATCTGAAATCATAAGTATGTCCAAACTCTTCCAATATCTCTCTCTTACCTTAGTATGCTACTTTAGAGGTAACAAAATAGTCTTCAATACAAGGCAAAAAAAGACAAAGATCATCTTTGATAGAGCGGACGGTTTAGGAACTGGTCCCAATATAGTAGTTGTTATCAATCCAGCCCAATATATTAGAAAGCAATTGAAATTTGCAGCAATAAATAAGACAAAGGCCATCCAGTTAAAAAACTGCACTTTTCAAAACCGATAAAAAATACCCCACAAGCTGACTGATCATACATCATAGAGCCAGTACAAATTATGACAGCTACTTCATATTAATACTACAGTCGACTACGGATGAGTTGATGTTGGAGGGGGAGTGAAAAAAAGATCGCCTCATCTGAAATTCAATTTAACCGTTGGAATCTGCAAAGATGAGGGCCTGGGACCCGTGAAAAAGATCAACTTAACTCTTCAAACCTTGACTTTTTTCCACCATTTCCCTGAGTTTTTTTCTACAGTCACCTAAACCTGGTGCACTATGTCTCATTATAACCCCAAAAGCTTGCCTCCAACTTCTAAATAGCGGAAACAAAGGCTTAGTCATTATTTAAAAACTTGGATCAGGAATAGTTCTGAAAAACGAGAAAAAACTATCACTAAATGAAACAAAACCGTAGTCACTAGTACTGGACGCCAGAGCTGGTTGTAACGGAGTACAAGTAATTAGGTACTTGTAGTTACGTTACAATTTCCGGTACTTTTACAATACTTTGGTACATTTTTGAGAACCAGTACTTTTACTCTACTCCGATACTTTTTATAAAAGTACCTTTGAGCATTTTTAAAGTACATTTTGAGTACTTTATAAGCTAAATGAAAGGGTAAGTGCTGGCATTTCTGATCATAATTTACGGAACAAACACCCGGGCGGGCACAGCCGATCAACCAAGAGTTAAAAGTTGAGAGCAAAGATCTGCCCGTCGCACCGAAGATCAGCCACTCTCGCGAATGTGATCACAAGCGTTGTAAAACTGGATGAAACGGTACAATGTTTGCCCCAGACGGGATCACACCGAGGTGTGAACTAACCGACGCGTTTGATTTCCCCACACATCGCACTCGCATCTGAGCTCGCCACCTAAACTTACATCACTCGCTGGGTGGGTAGGGCCTACAAGTTCGCTCCAGGCAGGACCACATCGAACTGTGAACTCTTCCCTGACCATTGAGGCAGTTTTTCTCTATTCCCGAGACAGCCTGAATTTTAATTGGTGTGGTCACAACGTAATGGTGCGTAACGACAAAGGCGGGGGGACTCAATCAGAGATGGAAAGCTAGAATTTTTGGACAGGTAAAGGGGAGGGGCAACTGGATAAACGTAGATCAAGATCTCGAGACTCACGATAGGCTAATGAGCGTATATAATATATGGCATGCTTCATGCCATTGTGATTGGTCATCAAGGTTGAACACTCTTTGTTCGCCATAATATGCCATAAACCCACCACGGGTCACGTCAGTTCATGGGTCACTGTAGATTCTTCCTTGGCTTCGTCTGTTAAGATCTCGTATTTTCCTTGCTCCCAAGCACTGGGATCTTAGGCGGAGACTACCGTAGTAGAGAATCTTTGGTTACACTACACTTACTAGACTCTATGAATCATGAAACTACATGTACATGTATTTTGGTTTGCCGTGGGCGCCGTGAACTACACAGTGTGACCAAAATCTGTCTTACCACTACAATCCAATTGAAACTGAAACTTAGTTCTCAATGTATATCTAACATTTTTTTAGGCTACCTAGTCCTAAATTTCTTCTTAATTTTTTTTGGGGGGGTGGTTTTTGTTTAAGGCTACATTGATTCCTTGAGGATTTGTTCATGAAGAATTCAATGCACTTTTCCATTTCTTTGCTGGCCATTTTCATCAATTTAATGTTTTCTTTCGAGAAACTTTGTCTCTACATTTTCCAATTCGGGTACTTTTCCACATTTTCCAATTCGGGTACTTTTCCTTTAGAACTTTCCGACCTCTTGGACTGACTTACATTTGGTCACATTGTCTTGCTCAAGCAAGGCCTAATTTGTCAAATATACTGGATCTGTTATTCAATATGATGTTTTGCATTAGCACTGAAGTGTTTTAGCCTATTAGCAGAAAGTACTCAAAATGTACTCATAAGTACTTTTTAAAAAAGTACTTGTACTCAAGTACATTTTACAGGAAAGTACTTTTACTGTACTTAAGTACATTTTTTAGATCGTACTTAAATACCTTTTCAAAAGTACTTTAACAGCTCTGTCGGACGCTCCCAGGGTCCGAGGGGTTTAAAGAGTTAACCGAAGATCAACTCAAGCGAGTCGACTGTACTTGATACCATATTCATGCCATGTGCATGTATCTATTTCATCATTTTAATAATTCAAAAATACATCTCCAGAAAAATCAGTGATATTTTTGGCTGCTCAGATTGTCCGTACCACTGACAATATGGGATTACTCCACTAAGGTGTCATCTCAGGTTCAGAACAAAGGATCATTCCTAATATTTTCCTCAGCCATTACCATTAGAAAACAAATCCAACACAAAGCTCTTATTGCCAGCCATCCCTCCCCCCACAATATTAACTTCTACAGTAATAATAGCAGCATTAAATCGAAGGATCAGTCTACATAGCTTACAACCGCCTAAAATTTCTGACAGAGTTATGAAACTTTATAATTTGGGTCAAAGTCTGCACATGAAACAGGATTTAATAAAACTCTTACTCTTCAGTTTCCAAGCGAGAAGAGGGCTCATTTGCCTGAAAATTGAAAATTTAAAAAACGGGTTGACTGTAAACACACAATACCTTCCAATTTCAGACATTCACTCCATTAGAAACAATGAAACAGTCAAGGAATAGAAAAGGGAAAAAGGGATACACATATACAGCAGGGTCCACTTAAACTAAAACCTGCAGGGCTGCTGGATTTTTTTTTGGTTTAGCCAGATTCACAGTTTTACAGTTTGGAGAGGGCTGCTCAAACGGCGATGATTGTTGAAAAGGTAGAGTCAGGAGTGCTCTGCTTGTAGCAAGTTTCAATTTTTGAATTTTTTTCAAGTCAACCTCTGTCAGCATCTGCAATATGTGCTACACACTGTGTGCCTTGTGTGTACAGAATAGGGAATCTGTGTCACATGCATTGTAAGCCTAATTTGACAAATCCTTACTGGTTATAGTTCCATTTTTAAAAAGTGGAATAATACATGGTATATATATATATAACCATAACAAATCAAAGCAACAACAAAATTATTTCAAAAGTCATTATGATTCATTGTTGTTCAAGAAAATGGGAGCATATGTAAAAAGTAAAGCAAGTACACGAAGGAAAGCTGAAGACCTAATTGGTTTTTTTTCTTTTTTTTTTTTTTACGTGTGCGCATAGGTAAGATTTATGGAAAAAAATTTGGGGAAACAAATATATAACACAAAAAGTTGCAGGCAGAGCTAGAGAAATAAATGTGCATACCTCAACATTTCCGCTGTGGCTTGAAGCAGATTCAGCTCCCTTGTCAAGTGAAGAAATTCCTAATTTTGAAGATGTAGGTTCCGCCCCAGCAGAATGTCGCATGAAATCAAACTTTCCCACTGATGTTGATGAAATTATCTCTTGGAAAGGCAGAATTATTTGAGCAATTCCATCTTTCAAATCATTGGCTGGATGTTGCGATTCTTCCTTTTTGTTTGCCATCAGATCTTGGGTTGGCTGGGCTTTCTCCATTTCAGCTTCCTTCTGCAGTTTCAATTTCTGTTCTCTTGCCTCAAGTAACTTCTGGGCCTCCTTTTTCGCAGCACTATTCTCAACACTAACAGACTGCCCGCCTTTTTTCAAGTCTTCAATCATTTTCTTAGCCCAGTTTGCTCTTCTTTTTTCTTCAAACTCTCTCCTTGCTTTCAGTTCTTTCTCTCGCATTTGCTTAGTCATCTCCTCTTTTTGCCTTTCTGACTTCTCTGCATCATCTATCCTTTTTTGTAAGCTCTCCATTTCCATTCTTTTCTTTTCAGCTTGAAGCACCTCATTCTTATTTACTTTTACTGTCCTTTTGCCATGAGTACTTATCTCGCATGTAATTTCTTTTTTCTCGTCAATCGTTTCTACAGTCCAAGGATTGGTATCTTTTTCCGACTCATCAGTAGAAAGCCTTTTTTCCTGCACAGGTTTGGACAATGACTTTTGAAGTTTGGCAAGTTGAACTTGCATCTACAAATGAGAGAGAAGAAACAGAATCTCATTATCAATATCAACAGTAGCAAACACTTCACTGGAAGCAAAAACAAATTAATCTTAAGTCATCAAATGCACCAACCCTAAAGATAAGTATTAGAAAGGCACTTATTCAGATAAACTAAATGACAATAATCTGACATCGATCTAAATTTTGAGACAGGGACTTCCGAGTTAGAAATTGCCACTTTCAATGAATATTCAAGAAATCCAGAGAGTCACTTGTAATCAATGGCCTACACTTAACCATTGTTGAAAACAACACAGAAACTATAATTCAAAAACAAAAAAATCAAACAAAGTTTTCATCAACAGTTTGCTGCATTAGATAAGTCAATACAATACTATAGGGACTCTATAAAATTATCCACTGACCACTAACCTCAAGAATTTTCTGAACGTTTGGATTGTCAGTTTCCAACTGTTTTAGTTTGTTGAGTGACTCTAGCATATCAGCACACACATCTCTCGTCATGTTAGAAATATCATCATCTTCTTCTTCTTCGTCAGCACTCCCTTCATCTTTGCTAACCTCTCCATTGTCACTTTCCTCTTCTTTCCACACCGATTTCTCAATTTCAGTCTCTTTGAGTCTGAGGACATTATTTAAAGAGTCATAAAGATATATGAGTCAACAGAAGCCTGCTATGACTGGTGACAGTTGAAACACTGAAAAAACTGGGAGAAGTCAAAGGGAATAAAAAAAAAGACAGAAGGGGGTCAGACTATTTACTTTGAGTGAGGAGCACATTGACACAATGGTGGCACTTTTTGCTGAGAGAGAGCGAGACATACAAACAAAAACCACAGAGTGAGAATAACGATTGCGGGTCAAAACATCATACATGCCTTTTCTTTAAGGGGACACACATGTACAAAAACATAACTAGTTCAGTAACATAAGCACAAGAAGGAAAAGGACATAAATGTACTGTTCCTTTCATCAGCTTACCCTTAAGCTATTTGTAAAGGAATGTCTCAGTTTTATCTCTTCCCTGTCTTAAAAATGAAATTACATAAAATGACGATTTTCATGATTTATTCAAATTTTTCAAAAGAGATATTGAAAGATAATGAAATGGTACAATAATGATTTTGGACCATATAATTCAAAGGTGTCAAAAGAACACAGATCTATTACTTATTACATAGCAGTTGACTTAAAGTCATGACTCTATGAAGACACGTCATGTGCTACAAAAACCTTCACAAAACAAATGTAGTTCACCCCCCCCCCCCCTCGAAAAAAAAAATCTATAGGAAACCAAGCAATATATCTGTCTGCCCCGCTCAATATCAGTCGTAAGACGCACTATGCTATTATCAGCTACGAGGCTCGAAAGGCAAAAAAATGACTTTCCATGAAATTTTTGTTTTTTTAGATATATTGAAAGTTTGATGTCTTCTGCTTCATTTATGATCAAATAAACAAATATAATCGACTATAAATATTTTATTTTGATTTATTTCGGAGGTGTGTGTGGTTTGTTGTGAGCTTGGGTGGCGAGATAAAGGAATTTGGACCTTGCTAGGGTGTAGCTGTGAGATTATTTTTAGAACCATTAGACCCCGCGTCCACTGTGGTTTTTCATCACTTGCAGGCCAAGCTCACATGCAAATGAGATTGTTTTTGTCAGTCACTGACTGCCTTTGCCTGACTACGCGATTTTCCTGCATGCAGGCTTTTTCGTCAGCCGTACAGGTGACTAAGAAGCCTCGATTCGACTCATTTAGGAAGGAAATTTTTCATCTTTAAGTACATTTTTGCTTCTTCCTTGCATTTTACATTATCAATAAAGTTGTATCTCATTATAATATGTTGTACAACACTAGATTTGTGCTGAAAAACAGCAAAAAAATGAAATTAAAGCCCTAGACCTAGATTATTTCGTTCTCGGGTAGACCTAGCCAAGGACGTGTCTTGATCTAGATCTACGTTCTCCAATGTTTAGTGCTTCTAATTTTCCGCCAATTTGTACTTTCCCCCAGACCTTGTCTATCGATCCAATACCTGCTGCCTCATTGATACCCCCCCCCCCCCCCCATGTTTCCGACATTTTCATCACCTTCGTTGTAAAAATACTAGATCTAGATCTATGTCGCTTTGCTTTTCTTGAAACAGTATGAAGCTTAATCTACCCTTGGCTGTTGAAAGTTCTGATGGCCAAGTGAACAGCGTGTCTGCGTTTGAAGAATAACCATTATTTTGTGAGCGTGGGTTCGAATACCAATCCCGGCCTTCCTTTTTTTTTCTTTTCTTCTCATCCTCCCAACTTACCAACAATTGTTCCCATAATTATAATTTGTTGCTTTTTTTATTTTTTTAAAGTGGTAAATAAATAAATTGCCTGTGCTGTCTGTTGTTCTCGTAATCATAATAGACTGGGCTAAAAATAGGTTTAGCTGGTCAGACATCGGTGGACACGGATCTTTTCAAGTCGGTTCAAGTCGGTTCTACACCTTGCAAAAACTTAGTACATTAGCCTGGCCTGGAAGTGATCTTATTTTGGTGGACGCGTAGACTTACCTCATGACCACCTTTGCTTCAACCAAAGATTCTCCACTAGTGGAAAATCTTGGCTCCAACGTTTTTCATTCGCAACTATTTTTAGATTTTGACCCCTTTTCGAGTATGAATGGTTTGAAATGTAAACAACTCTGATTGGTAAAACGGAGTAAAAACGGTAACTTCTAGCTCAGTTCAAGCCTGTTTACATAAACAGCTGACTGTGGGCATGCCCTGCTAGCTGCTATCGTCTGTTGATCTTTCAGTTTAACACTTCGATTGACTTTAAAAATGTGCTTTAGAGCTTTTAAAAGATTAATTAACCTTCCTCTAGATCTCTCAGAGCGGGCTCCTTACCAAGGGGCCACAAAGGCGGTCTATGTGCATGTGTGTGTATGTGTGTTGGTGTGTTGGTGTGTTTGTATGTGTGTGTGAGTGTGTGTGTGTGTGTGTGTGTGTGTGTGTGTGTGTTTATTGTGCTATTGCAAACGTATAATCAGGTAGCGTAAACACGGCACGTAAGCTGACTCGCGGCCTTCCGAGCACGTGGTTTCGGCGAAATGGGGGTAATTAAGATCTCTGTTTCTTTGTTCTTTTGCTATAAAGCACCAAATACTGAACACTTTGAAACAGTTCAAATTTTCTTCGTTATAATAGTGTAAGTTGTTTGAATATCCGGGTATTTGGAGCTGGAAAATCGCCGTGGAAAGGGAAGCCCCTTGCGGTCGGAATACGAGGTCCCCCGGTTCAAAATTGACACCCATGCATTCCAATGCTATGCAGAAAGATTGATGATCAAATACCGTCTTTTCATAGGAGGTGAGCTATACAACTTTTAACGTGGTTTCCCGTGGCTATTATTTTCGGCCTTTGACGTTTAGATAGAAAGCCTAGAAAAAAAGGGTATACGTTTTCAAAGATAATTTTTTACACGAAATATGTAAAATACCGGCTAAAAAAAGGTACCAATAGAAAGAACAGTTTTTTTTCTATTGGAATAGAGTCATTGGCTTGGAATTATTTTGCATGAATCCTTCTGTGAAACTACCGGGAGCACTCAGTATACTACAGTATTGAGCAGGCTCGCTCGCCGCGAAGGCTGGTGTGACGCCGGCCAAGACAACGCTCGGTGTTTTAATTGAAATAGCGACAGATCATCGTGTTTGAGGCAATACAATACTGATTTGTAATGATCTCACAGTCTTGAAAAATATTAGGCTTCCTTTCTATGTTATAGTGATTGTACTCTTTTAATGTAGAGATGTTTGGTGCTCTTGATAGACACTCTTTTACTATCTGTCAAACATTGGGTTTCAGCCAGTTAACGACTTCAGCAATATTTCATTATTATGTTTAATTGAAACAGCTGCCATTCTCTTAAACATTGACTAAGAGGTAAAAGTATGGTACCACAATTCTCAGGAGACAAAGGCCTTTCATATGAAACAGATGAATCTGACATACAGCTACTTTGAAAATTTAGTGTCTTGTACCTAGTATAATGCTTAATATTTTGTTGCATTTGACGTGAAGTTCATTCTCGTTAAAATTTTGTTTGTTCCATAATTTTTTTCCTCTGTGAATGAATAGTTTTCTACTTTTGTATGTTACTTTGTAGCAGCATAGCCAAGATAACTGCTAAATTTCAAGTCTCTATCTCAATTCTAAGACCCCCATTGCTATGGAAACGGGTTGCTCAACTTCGGAGGCCATTTTCTCCTTTTCGTGTTTCCTCACCTTGAACAATTAAAAGTTCTGTATTTTCATCAAATAATGTTATATTTACTTCATTCTTGTTTTAAATTGTAGGGAAAAGGTGATAGTTTTTAAAAACAATGTTAACTCAGTTTTGAAAATTCCTTCATATGACTGATATTGACCGGCAGGGACACATATATATACTTCACATATTAACATGTGGAAGTTAGAAAATCACAAAGAAAAAAAATGGGATAACACATTTTTTCAGCTCAAGACCCACCTTGGAGAGTCTAACAAGTTGACAGCAGGCCTGTGTTGCCAAATATTATGTCTAACAAAACAATCCCTTATGGTACATATATTACGCAGGCAAGTCCACAAATGTTAGGATTTTGCAGAATGAAGTGCGAATTCAGGAGAAGAGAGAATACTTTTGAACAAGCAAATAACATAGTAAAGAACCCCACATATGACAAAAACATGCCGGTAAGTGGAGAGAGTCGTTATATACTGTGTGTTTAGAAAGAGACTACTGTATACATAACACAACACTGAACAAAGTTGATACTTTCAAACATAAGACTCTGAGCAAAGGTTTGGGACTAATGTGGCATAAGGACAGAAAAAAAGTTGAAAGTCTAAAATGTTGTTGTCTCCCAACCCTGTTGTGCAGTGCTGAGACCTGGCCAGAGTACCGAAGGCATGTCAAGAAGCTTCATTTCTATATATATGAAATGCCTCAGGAGACTTCTTGAAATCAAAAGGCAGGACAAAATACCACACACCAAAGTTCTCAAAAAAGGGCAAAAGCAAAGAGTCTGTTTTCTAAGCTCAGAAGGGCTCAACTTCGCCAAGCCTGTCATGTCATAAGAATGTCAGATCTCAGAATCCCACAGGCAGTATTCCATTTCTGAACTGTCCTCAGGAAAGTGTAAAGTTGGCGCACCAAAAAAGCACTAGAAGGAAGTACAACATAAATCTTTTAACATGGAAGAGCCTAGCTCCTGACAGACCCAACTGAAGAGCAGTATTCACAGTGGGCAGCAAATCATATGAGGCTTTACAAATAAGAAATGCTGAGGCTAAGAGAGAACCCACAAGGTGTGCACATCGACAAATGGAAATGTACAAAAAGTGGCAAACTTTTCACTGCCAGAATAGGTCTTCTTGGCCATAGCAGAAGCCACAAGTCATCTTAACCTGTAATTCTTCTATTTTGTTTAAGAAATATTCTCCTCTTGCAGATGCATTGGTTATCCTCAGACATTGACGGACAAACTATTATTATTACTGTATTTTCACTGACAAAACGGGTCATGTTCCTTAATGAACTTAATTTCAAGATTAGAAATAGATGATCAGGGAAAGTACACGATAGAAAGGAGACCTGTGCAAAGAGTGTTCATTTAAAGGAGAGCAAGACCTCATACATAAATTTACCAAATCTTTAAGGGGCAAGCAGAGCATAAAATAAGCTTTTAAGCCACTGAAATTAGGGAAAAGTCTACTGGAGACAGGTGACATGTCATCGATAAACCTTGACAAAACTTTTGAAATGAGGTGAATTTGTCCTTTGTTTCTAGTCATGTCTGTATGACCAAACTCCACAAATCTCTTTGAGTTATCATAACAGAAATTTCATATGAAATACCTGTTCTCTGGTGAATCCTGGTGCTCTTTTATTGGATCAGATTCTTGCTCAGAACAACTTTGCGTGGAGCTTTGTCTTTGCAAACTGTTAGCAGCATCTTCCATTTCATGATCAGCCTGTGCTTGAGAGCCCTCACCGACTAAACTCACCAGAATAGAAGAACAATTTTGCACATAAAACATATTGATAAAAAAGAGTCAATTATTAACAATTCATTACAATAACTGATCCAATATACATAAAAAACATTTCGTTTACCCAATACGATACTGGCTAAAATCAAATACTGAACTACTAATAACTATAATATAGAATAGAGTTGTTATATATTTTTTTTAAAGAGATGTGAGGCAGCGTGGTGAAATCAGGCGCTTGTCCAAATAATGAAATTGAAGAAACTGGATTGCAATTTTTATAGAATTTTTGTTTTTAAGTTAAAAACCATTCTTGTCCAATTAAAAACACATTTCTGGGTGGATTTTACTTTAAAATGTTGATTAAAGGCATAAAAAAAAGTAAGTTTTCAGTTTCCACAGTCTATCAAGCTATAAAAATGACCCAACTTTGGAGACCATTTTCTTGTCAGTTCTACCTTTGAAACCAGGCGACCCCACCTTTGTTCAATCTCTAATATCTTGACTTCTACTAAAGATAGATGGGAATTTTTTCCCCCCGATAGCATGACAACCGAACAGCCTTTAAGATACTAACAACTCCACATGCCCCAAAATTGACGAGCACCTGATTCCACCACGTCATGACACAAATCATTATGACTACGAGGAAAAAAAAACATGACCGTAGAAAGTTTTCTAAAATGTTTATTTACCTACTGTGCAAAAGTTCAAATTTTCTTATTGTACATTGTCATATGCATATGAAAATGTTAGATTATCTTACAGTGCTCTTCCCCAATTTTTTTGACAAGAGAAGCTACTGTGATAAAAAGTATAAGTTGTTTTTAGAGTCATCACTTCGAATGTAGAATGTCGGAACCCCCCCCCCCCCCATCCAAGTGAGAGCATCTAAGAATGAATTGTGAGCTTGGGGAAGCCTTGTGTATGGCACAAAAAAGTGTAAAATATGTGAACAGGGTAAACTCGCAAGCTGGATGAACTCAGATTATAAATGTGTCAGCATAAACGTATCATATAAAAGCTGCATTATTAAACAATCGTAAGCCTTCACCTTCTGTCTTGATGCTACTGCGAATAGCAAGAGGATGGTTATTGATTGTGAACTCAGAGAAGCACTCCAGGACAGCTTCTAGCCAGCTTGCATCTGCATAGCACACACGGACAGGCCTGCAATTCAGAAAACACAAAAACAAAAAACCCCAAATCAATTAACTAAAAACTAATAGCTGTTTTGATTTTGTAAGTATTTCACTTTCATGGCACTTGAAACACAATATAGTCATATATGAGTGGCGAAGATTAGAGATGTTACAAGAGAGTAACAAACACAAGAAAGAACAGAAGGAGGAGAGATAGCGATAACAGATGTTAGATAGGAAAGAAGGAGCAGACCACACCAGAGCACCCATCAATCACCCACAAACTAAAAACTGCATAGCTGACAAGAAAACCCTAGTCAGTATCTCATACAGTAGCTGCATTTAGAGTAATGTTTCAAACGTAAATTTTCCCTTGAAATGACTTGTAGTTATTTATGTTTCCAACGGATGTATTGAATACATTAACAGGGAACCCCCCCCCCATTCAGTTGTGAATAGAAGCCATAATATTTATTCATCGAGATGAGATCTGGACACGGTGTCACTTTTCGCCCGATTCTGTTACCTTTAGTTAGCGTGACTCAGCAGCCGCCAAAGCTCCCCTGCTCAGGGTCATGGGGTTAATGAGCCTTGAAATGAATTTGCCGGTGTCGGTTAAGCAGTTCGCATTTTTGTCTACGTTTGAAACGATATAACTTCTTCCCCATTTCTCACAGCAAACCATTACGCGTATGTTCTAAAAGCTCAACGTATTGAGATTCATTCTGCGTTAGAATGGTTAATTTCAGTGCCTTAGTTTTTGTTCTAGATAAGAGTTTGTAGAGTACCCAATTTGTCCTATTTTAGTTACATACTTATGAATAAATCGTTGTCCATCTCACAAAAGGGCGTAAGGGCATTTTTGGCATTTTTCAGGAGAGCGTTCTAAAGTTTTGGACACTTTTAAGTTCTTGCTGTGGCGTAACTGTTTGCTTTTTCATTAAAATTTTTGGCAAGATATTAGTGCAACCACAGATTTATCATTCCCTATAATGGTTATGAATATTGCGTCATTAGTGTTTAAAGAAATGGTCTAAAATAGCTGATACGCCTGTTTGTGAGAACATAATTATGTCCGTAAAGACACAAGATTGACAATACGGAACATCGTTTGGTAATAAAATATAAAAGAAAAGGGTTGTTTTCTTGATTATTGAACAGGTTTATCAACTCAATATGCCAAATTGATCTATTTTCGGGAGGGAAAAGCAACGAGGAAAAGAAAATGAAACAGATTTGGGGTCTCCACGATATGAAAAGTAAATAACTTAAAGAGTTAAGCTTTCTACTTGTCTTCAAGGTATTATAAGAATTTGCACAACACAATGAGTATAAAATGACTAGTACTGCACAGATCCTTTCATTCAGGACTGTGCACCATCCTTAGACAACAACAATATTAGTAGAAAGATAAATTCTGAGCATGTGTAATGAATTTGTGTAATACCTTATAAACGTTTTAGCCCATAATACTCTGTTTATCAATGAAATATAGTGCAAGTGTTTGTTAAGAAAGATTAAAATGATCTGGAAAGGCACTTCAATGCGAAAACACAGTGCAAGTGGTAACCTGTCATAAGATAGATGTGGCAGAATTAGAAGAACATTGTGTGTTCCTCCAGTCTGATGAAAAGTGTACTTGGCTATAGGGAGTTTTTTAGGCTGTTCAATGGAACGTCTTAATTTGACTTGATTTTTCTGGGGCTAAAGGGGGGGGGGGGGGGGGGGGGGGGGGGGGCTACACCCCCAAAGTCAAAATTCGGCTCAGAATCATGGAATTTGAGTTGTAGGCATTTTTAGCTTCCTCAGCCTCTCCTACAACTATTTCATCGCATAAGAACCCCCCAAAACGGTATTTTTTCCCGTACCGGGCATGTTTGAAACCGCCATTTCCTCATAAAGTCAGTATTTTATTTTTCTTTATCGGCCGTTTTCTCAAAACGCGACTTTTCTCTATACTTTTTTGAATAACTCCACCATTTTTCATTCAATCTTCATGAAATTTTCACAGAATGAAGAGAAGAGGTAATGCTAAAGATTTGTCTGTTGAATTTTTGATATATGGAATAGATTTTTGTTGGTGGTGTCTGGAGTGTGAATTTTCACGGATTTTTCGCAAACTTGAGTGCTACCTCAGGAAAAAATTCATTAAAAATTTTCTAATTCGTTTAGGAAAAAAACAACAGACAAATTTTTAGATCTAATGTTTGTGAACACGCATGCAAAAAATCAATCAATTTCCATGAGCGATAAGTGCGGTATTCATTACGTTAGACATGTCAATAAAATTCAATATGGCGGCGTATCCATGGAAACGAAACTTTTTTCTCAAATTTGATTGCGGATTTTAAGACTCCTTACTATGCTTGTTATATGTGTGAAATTTGGTAAAATTTGGTCCGGTAATAAGCGAGATAGCCTCCAGGTGTAGCCCCCCCCCCCTTAAAGATCACTGTTTGGTACTGTGGGTTTGTAGGAAATAAATAGTTATTGAATAGTTATTGAATAGTCTCTGTTGAGTCTGTTCCATAATATCACTTCAGTTTATGATTATATTGCAGCTGAAAGGATCTTCTTTAAGTTTTCTCACTTTGGCTTTTCCGTGGATGCGATTGTTCCGCCTTTGTTTTGTCTCCTCTTCAGTTCAGGCTTGAGTGCAAGTCCTTTTAACTCGAAACTGACCCACAGCAGTAATATGAGTCAACAGCGGGGAACCTCGCAATATGAGCATTAATAAGGGTTGGAAGTTTTTCATCTCTTTCTTCAACAGTTGCTGGGCACCATCATCCTCTTTTTTCTACTTCAATAGTTTCAGCTAATGTTGTCTTACAGACGGCGATGCTCCATCGACTGTCAAGTAATATGTATTGGTCTTCTGTCCGCAAGAACAGCTCGTCCCTTTCATAGATTCAGAGCAGTCAATGTGACCAACAACGAACTCACGTTGTATATAATGGTCTCCAAGTTTGCAATATTGCTGGAACATTTCCTCGTGTGTTTCATTCGCAATAGTGTGACAGCTTCGACCATATTTCTCATACCTGTCTCAAATCCTGTGCGCACCAAAATGTATTTCAGTTATAGGGCTAAGGAACTCCTCTCCAAAATGTCCTTTGTGGTTAGCTCCTTTATACTTATTGGACTGTGGACCTTTCTGAGCAGTCACTTCCTTGACAGCACCTTCTGTCATGAAATTTTCAGGTTGAGTACAATATCCAACGACAACAGAGTTATTCTCTTTTGGCTTTATCCGTTTTCTACTCACAATGCTATGTGCCTTTTTTTTTTAAAGACTACCATGAACCTGTTTCTTCCACAAAGTAACTGTATGTATAGCACAGGAGCAATACACACCCTCAACAAACTGCAAATATGTCCTTCTTGCAAGACACAGAAACCAGGTTTGAAAGACGGGTCAGCAAATAAATCGTCAACATAATCAGAACTTTCTGCAATACCATATCTTTGGGGACTCATGGACCTTTTACTTGTAGAAAATATTTTAAAAAGTGAATGTTTATAAGCTTACAAATGAGTTAAGATACTTTCACTTTTTGGGTATATGAACATCAAACGCTGAAAGCAAGGATGAAATTTAAAGCACAGGCACCAAAAACAACACGTGTCTACTTGAACTAATGGTAAGGAAGCATATAAAAGTTCCTCAATGATGCAGCGAGAAAGAATTGCAAGATTACTAAACATGAAATGAGATGCATCCCCCTCATTTGCAAATGGTTATACTTTTATAGAAACGAAAATAAAAGCTTGAAAAGCCTGGTGCTGATTCAGCGTCACTGGAAAGCTAGAAATTATTCTTATAATACAATCACGAGAAGCCATCCCTGTTATTCGGTCAACTTACAAAACCTAGATCTAGCGTTTTAAGAAAAATAAGGAGTAATTTATGGAGTGTAACTGATGGTAGTGATAGACTACAGTTCTTGTATTACATTGTTGTAGATGTATTCTGGCACTAAAATCGGTTTGCACCTTTTCATTGAGAGACATCAGGGTAATTTTGATAAACTTTAGAGAAAATATGCGAATATTCCCGATTATTTTAGACACATAAAGTTGTATTTGGAGGAATTACTTCATAGCAAATTGTGTGCCAGATGCATAAAGTTGCAAAATTACAGCATTCTATTATACGCGCAGATACCATCTTTTCTGAGTATCTGCACCATTGTTATGGTGTTCATGTTCCGAAAGTTCGATAGTTTTTGTTGTGCTTTTTTAAAATATTGATTCTTTTTCATTCACACTTGTACAAATTTTTTTACAATTTAGCATTGCCGACTTCAGCGCGTTTAACAAAATAACCAAACAAGTTACAATGTCCGTTGTTTTTTGAGTCTCAAGAGCAGAAATACGTGCTTTGGGTGCATTAAATGATAATTACCTGATATACAAGGATACACCTAAAATTGTATGTTGAAAAGTATCAAAAATTAAGTCAGCCCAGACAGAGCAGTGACAGGGAGCTGACCCCCATGACAACGACGTGATAAGGCGCTCGGCGGGGGACCCCCCTGCCACAACTAAAATTCCACTGCCGGTGCGCCATGTAAAGCAATACTAGGACAAATGAAAGTTCTCAAAATTCAGAAAACAATATTACTGCACCATATGACTTTTACTTCAAATCAAAATAAAATAAATCAGACAATACCCTTGCCTTTCTAACCCCCCCCCCCCCCCTCCACACACACAAAAATCATAAACAGGCAAAGTCAGCATAAGGATACACACCCTTTGAAAGCAGGTTTCACGCCTGAGTCCTCAATACAGTTTTTCATATCAATGAAAGGAATAAATGGAAAGAGTGTCTTCAGGGACAAAGGATGAGCATCAATGGGAACCTGGTCCACCTCAAAATATGTCTTGGAAGGTGTTGCTGTACCCCTCACTGGCTCTGAGAAAGAAAACAAGAATACAAAATTATCGTGTGACCACGGAAAATGAACGCTCAATTGAAGAAACTGAACCCATAAGGAGAAACTGAACCAATAAGAAGTCTTCACGAAGTAAAAAAAAAAAGTTGTTCCTCGGCATCGACATTAAAGCGGTGTCTGTGGTGTATTGATTACGTGCTTCACCCTCACACGCTGAAGATCCGAGTTCGATTTGCGTGTGGGGAGAATTTCTATTGAGTAAGATGTATCCCTCTCAGCCTGGGTTGCAGGGTCAAAGCCTGCCTCCTGAATGACCTAAATTGTGTAGATGGAGGGCGCAAAAACATCTACATTTACATTGGACATATACGGATTTAAAAAAAAAAAGATTATTCTACATCTGCTCACAACCATTAACCTCAGGGTGAATTTAAGTTTGATAATAGGCATCCCTCCACTTCGACACTTCTACAGTTGCAAGTTAATTTACTTTAAACAAATAATTAATGTGGGTGGTTGGCGGGTGCTCTGGTGTAGTTTTCTTCTTTTTTCCGATCAAACATCTATCGTCCTTATCTGCCCTTCTTCTTTTTTATTTTTGTTACTCTCTTGAAAAACCTCTAATCTTCTGGAGTTCATATGACCTTATGCAGTTGCGAGCGCCGTAAAACCTCTACCAAAACAACAAAATAATTAATACACCTATAAGTTGTATACAAAACAAAAGCAGGTCAATCAGGGCTCAAGTGCCAATTTTGTATTTCTTTTGGTTCAATAAAATTTTATTCTTTTTCTATACATATATTAAAGTGGTTGACTTATCTATCAAAGAGTAAAAAACGATATGCGAGGTATCGTGGTGAAATCAGGCACTTGTCAAAATAATGAAATAAATATCAGCATTTTTTCAGATGGCTTTGCAATATTTATCAACTTTTTCTTTTTAGGCTGAACACTTTTTATCTTCATCTAAAAACACATTTCTGTGTTGATTTTTCTGAAAAATCTTTGTTAAAGGCACAAAAACTGTATGTTTTCAGCAACTCTCAAGCTTTGAAAGTCATCAAACTTTGGCATTCATTTACTTGCTAATGTTTCTTGACTTTTATTCAAGTTACAGGGGTATTTTTTTCATCAAAAGATAGACAAATAGACCATACGAATCACTCCACATGCCGAAAAATTGATGAGTGTCTGATTCCACCACGTCCTGACACATTTTTAAGGTTGGGACATAATGTTGGCAGAAAAGCCTGTCCAATCACTCTGTCATTTAAAGTGTGAGTATTGCAATACTGTGAAACTCCAAAATCATGAGAAATTGATAGGATTTTAGGATATTTTTTGTTTTAACACTCACAGCACCAGGAAGGCTGAGAAGGCATTTTTTAAAGCTTCAATTGGTGTTTTTCAAAGATTTCCGAAAGGTGCATTTGGACTAAAGACTCGCACTATCCATGGATGTAATAGATGGTGGCTGACTGGGGATGTTGTGTTCATATATTATAACACTGTGGGTCCATTCGTTGGAGTGCTTTTTTTGCTTCGGGAAAACTGAGGTCACACGACATGTCTGTTTTTGTAATTTCTTGGAAATAGACGAACTACGGTCAAGCTCTATCATATTTGGTACGTTTTCGCGTCAACATTTGAGCAGGAGTACGAATATGACATCAGGTTTTAACCATTTGAACAAAAAATGTGTTCCAAAAAAATTACCCTTGCTGAACTTGCCCCAGTGCATGGGACTTGACTCAAGACATATTTTTATGGGCACTGTAAAGCAAACTAGATGAATGGACATCAACTCCGTTCAAGGTGCGAGTGCAGGATTTCGATTTGAACATTGCAGGTGAGACATAATAAATATAAGAAATTATATACATTAAATTGATCCGCCATATGGACTAAAGACAGAAGGTCTAAATGCTCAGTAACAGCACAATTAGCAAAAGTATACAGTATAAAATATTTATGAACACTGTATTCAGGAGATTTCAATGTTTTAAAAATTGCAAATATACCTTGTACTTCAATATGTGAGCCTACAAATTGTTTAACAGTAAATCAAGGTTTAAGTTTTAATCTTTCTGTCAACTTTAGAGTAATAATCAATGAGATCAAGTGGAACTGATGAAGCCACAGGAAATTGTTTTTTTCAGTTGATAAAAACAAACATCTAAGTTTTCCTTTCAGTTACAAATATCTGTAATTGTAGAATATAATGTTCGAGAATTTCAAGCGCTCAAGAGGAAACACATTATTGGGAAATCACTATTGTAGATATATATTTAGTCTGCTTAACCCAAAGGTAAATGTGTGGCGACAAGTTTCAAAACAAGTAAATGAAATCAAGGAATTCTTCAGACAACGTCAGCTGTTCATGTGACAAGTTTTTTCAGCAAGAAATTCTCAAGGAATTATTCAGCTATGAGCTATTGCACAGAGAAGCACAATGCAATTAAAAAATAAGTTTCTCACAACATGTTTACGAGCTTACCGTCCCCGGAACCAATCAGTTTCAGCAACTTGCCATGTCTATCCAACCGTAAGACTAAAGTTCCTAAGACAGCAAAAAAAGAAGTAAAATGGAAGTGGTAAAAATTGATTTTTTTTTTGGTCAGTAGATGAAACCCAGTCAAGCTTTATACTGTTCCAAAATATATTCAATTTTTAGAAGAGATAAGTCAGTGAATTAGAAATTAAATCTTCAGAATTTTTACAATTCAAAGGTCTATGTTCATGTGTACACAACAAATATAATAACAAAAAGTGTCAATTTCTTTTCCTTCAGTTTAGAAAATCCAGGCTAAGAAATGAATGCAGATGCAGTTCATAACACTTTACTTTTACCTTTTCAGCCTCTGCTGCAATTAAGCATTGAGGGGAGATGAAGTTTTTTATGGAAGGCCACTGTGTGGCTCTTTCAGTTGGGATGTTGTAATTTCAGAGTTCTCTTGACTGCTTCAATCCATTTTCCTTTATAGCCAGAGTACTTGGGGATATAGGTTCTCGAGGCTGGCTGGCGAGGTGACATTCGTAACAGGTGGCCAAATCATTTTATTCTGTTTTTCTACGAAATGCAGGCAGGATTCTGTGCAAATAGTCGCTCTTACTTCTCCATTTCTCTGCCTGACTCTTCTTGTGATGTTAAAGGTTTTGCAGAGACATTTCATCTTGCATGCAGTGATTTTGCTTTCATGGGTTTTGCTTACTGTTATGGTCCAGATCTCGTACTTCACTGGTACCACAATGTAGGTATAAATATTGAAGTGATAAGCTGTCTCTTTGTGTCGATGGAGATGTTTGTTTGAGATAGAAGGGGTGCATGCTGATATGTAATGGTGTTAGTTTTTTTAGTTCTATATATTATAAAAAGGAGGGAAGATAAAACACATCCCTGTCGTACTCATGATAATAGTTCAGTTTTAAAACAAGAATTTAAAAAAATATTCCAGTATATTGCAGTACTTTTGAAAGAAAAACAACTGATCCAAGGCCAAAAGCTGATGCGACTTTAGTGGGGCTGCAAAATCATTTAAAACAAACAAAAAGTAGGCCATCTGACATAGAAGAAACTGGGAACTGTTTTAAGACACATATAAATGAGACATTTTTCAAAAACATTCACCTTTCTATTGAGTTCACACATTTTTAATGAGATATATGTGGTGTCTGAAGGTCTACACTTGGCTGCCTTTGAGAGAGCACAAAGGAAGCTTACTTTGAAGTGTTAAAGCAGAAGAGTCTGACAAAGTATTTACCCCATGTTTGATTTTAACAATGAAAGAAGGTTAAAGAGCACTCTGAACTTGGGATCAGTTTCAGAAATACATTTACGATTTTAAAAAATATAAAAAATCCCATATGAAACTTAAAGCAAGACTAACTTTGACATGGATCTGGTAAAAGTGAGACTGTGACTCTATCTTCACTGCATCTTACCCACGTAGTCTCTTCCTTTTGGTATTTGCACGGAAATGGTAAGTTCAATCCGTTTTTCCACTAGTTTAACTAGACATAGTCTTCGAATAAATGCTTGGATTGGTAGGGCTCGCAGGAAACAAATCTCTCCATAGCTGAAATGAAACAGAAGGGAGACAATATCACAAACTGTTCTTGGTGTTAAAAAAAATTCACCAGCTGCCATGCCCCTATAAATGTTTTAGTTTTAGAATCAGACAAGTTATTTGTTTCTTTGCCTTGTTCTCTTTTGTAAAGCATGCCATATTAATCAATGTGCCAAGAAGCAGGAATAAAAATCTTCTGTTTAGTCCATTTCTACACCACAAAAGTAAAGCCACAGCCACAAAGTCAACCAATAATTGCAGTCTTGTCTAATATAATTTTGTGAAAAGTTTTAAAGAATTACCAGCTTCACCAAATCATACAAACATCAGAACAGATGGTGAGAACTCTTAACGGCAAAAGAATAAAAGTGAAAGACTTTGTAAAAAAAGAATAGGTTGAAAATAGAGAGTCATGTTTTTTTGATGGAGGGCGTTCACATTTCTGAACCAAAATAATACTACATATATTTACCCTTTTTTCTTTTTGAACTTCCCTGCTTGTCTTCTGAAGTAAAAAGAGAGGCTTGGTTGTGATCTTATGAGATTTTGCATGCCGCTCTCAGCTAAATCAGCTATTTCCACGGGACCAAAACGTAATGTGAAAGTCTTTTCTGTTGAAATTTGAAGAGAAAAGGAAAAGCCATTACCCTTTGGTTATCTTACAAAACGTCTCTAGCTAAAAAACACCAAACAAAAAACTTCATTTTTACTTACAAACCAATTAGCTGAAAAGAAAAAAACCCAAAGACAAGTAAAACAATAGGCATCTAAATAAAGGTTGATACAATTAAAGGCTACAAAATGGAACAGAGATAGAACATTTCAATTGGGGCTAAAACCCTTGAGAAATCAGAACATTGAAGAGATGCACCTCATCATCATCTTACTGAAGAACTTAAGACACTTTTTAAAAAAGAGGAAATTCTCAGCTTAGTTGAAATTCGAAAAAGAGAGTTAACTTCCATTGTCAACAACCAAGATCTCTTAAAAGGAAAGGACAAAACAGATTTATTTGATTAAAAACATAAAACATCAACAAAACAAAGGGTTCAAAGAACAAACAAAAATAAATAACAGGTCAAATACAACTGGCTTTACTTTGAAGGATCTGCTCCTTGAAAAAAAAAAAAAAGCTAAATGGTTCAAATGTGCGTATTACAACTAAGAAGAAGAGAGCAAGTGGCAAGAAACTAATCAAACAGCGTAAAAATATCTCCATTTTTTTTAATTGAAAGAAATCACATACCTTCCGTCTTTGGTTGTGCACATTGTCTGATATCTTCAAACATTTCTTCAGCCAGGATGGTATCAATAGCTTTCGACTCCTCCTCTGTTATCGTTACCATGATATCATCAACAATTTCTTGTTCCTCAACAGACTTGTTCTCTTTGTCTGCACACTTCTGGTCCTCCACTGCAGCAAACACATTTCTACCACTATCACTTGATGATTTATTTTGTTTTGGACTAGCTTTTGAGTCTGAGTGAATCTTTCTAACCTTTGGAGAACTGGATGAAACATTTTCCACTGGCTTTCTTTTAATGCCCAAATCCTCAGATGAGTAATGAATTTTTTCTTTCACGACACTGTACTCTGCTTTAAAACTATCAATGCTTGTAATGGCATTTGCAATGTCGCCTAAAGTAGAAACATCAACATTACTTCCTTGCTTTTCTACAGTCCTCGTGGATTCTACATTTGCTTTCTTGGACACTAGTTTTTTTTTGGTGTCCGAATCAGCAGACTTAACACCTCGCTGACCAGAATTCTTGGATCCTACTGTTGGAGACGCTTCCTGTGGTACTGGTACTGTATGAGATTCATGTTTTACAGAAGACTTCTCGACTTTCTGGACTGCAGGTTCTTTGTTCTTGTCATTTCCTTTTTGAGTGCTCTCAGGGTTGGCTTCTTTCAATGTCTCCCAAAACTCATCACCCTCAAATTCTTCCACATCACCCTCCAGTTCTAGTTCTTCACATGAATCCGACATAGCTATTTTGAATGTTAGACTGAGGAAGAGAGAAAACAACAAAAACAAAAAAACAAAACAATTGAAAGTTAAAATGGGAAATATTTCTGTATAATGTTGGCTTACAAAATGCAGGGCAACAGACAATAGTAGTAAGTAGCACTATCACTGAACCTGTACCAAGAAGTAAGACTTCTAGTGCTACCCTCTCATTACCAAGATTCTTTATTTCTAATTTTCTCCATTCAGTATTTTTGATACCGACCTTTCCAGTCAAGAGAAAGTTGTGACACACTGCCAGACATGTTGGTACTGACAAGCTTGTGGTGCCATCCACTGGGATTTTCATGGCAACAATTAAAACTGGCCATAATATTATCATTATCATACCAGAAGAAGAAGCAAGCTTCATATAAATTTATATATAAGAGGATGGCGAGATCATTGATTTTCACTAGAGGTCCACTGGCTGCTGCTCAGTGTACAAGAATGCCAAAGGAATGAACAGGAAAATGTGGACTATTGGAGTGGGTCAACTGGCTCACATTACAAAAATATAATATATACCGGGTAATTACAATCAGTTCAGCATATATATGTGCAAGCGCAAGCATGACATATCACGCCTGTATACGACTATGCCATGCAGTTATTTTGAACTTTTATCTCACCATCACAGACTATAAAAGTTATTGCAGTGAGGTCCTCCTTCAGTATCACACATCACTAAACACTGATTTGAAAAGATAAAAGTTAGGTACAGTAGTCTTTGCCTAAGATCCCACCGTTTACGATCCCAGTTCGTTTAAGATCCCCTTGTTTTAAGAAAACAAAATTTTTACTATACAAAAGTTACCCCTAAGATCCCGCCCTGATTCACTCTGAAGGTCTACATTCGGCTAAGGTCCCGCATTTCTGATCATAATTTGCAGAACAAAAACCTGGGCGGGCACAGCTGATCAACCAAGAGTGAAAAGTTGAGATCAATAAACTGTCCGTCTCGTCAAAAATCAGCCACTATCATGAATGTGATCACATATATGTTGTAAAACTCAATGAAGCGATACAATGTTTGCCCCAGATGGGATCACACCGCGGTGTGAACTGACCAACACGCAACTTGTTTTCCCCACACATTGCACTCACACCTAAGCTCTCCACCTAAACTTACATCAAACGTTGGGTGGGTAGGGCCTGTATGTTCGCTCCAGGCAGGATCACATCGAACTGTGAACTCTTCCCTGACCATTGCAGCAGTTGTCTCTACTCCCAAATTTGCGAGACAGACTGAATTTTAACTGGTGTGTTCACAATTGGTGTGTTACGACAAAGCGGTTGGGGGGGGGGGGGGGGGGGT